AAGCAGACATCAGGAATTGAGGTCCTGAGGATGCTGCGTTTTTTTGAGGATGCTGCTTTCACATTTCAATCCTTTTTGTTTTTATTTTATTTTTCAATTTCCTTTCCTTCTTTTCAGATTTATTTTCTATCCCCAACCTTTTTGGCTTTTTCTTCCAAAAGCCAGATCAAATCTGGGCGCTGCACAGTGCACACCAGTACAGTAATATAATGCTGGGCTAAATACTCCGTATTAGATTCTAATGAAAATATGAAATACGTAGTCTTAGTTGGTTTGGGTAGGCTTACTGATGCTTTATTTATCTGATGCTTTTTTACTTTAGGTAGGCTGGCTGATATCTTGCCCTATGTATTTAGGATAGTGTAGTTTAGATTGCCTTTTTGAACAATGACAATGTGTTGATAAATGAGTAGTATAATAGCAATGGTCATGACATTGTCACAATTTGAGCAATGACAATGTGTTCATATCATCATAGTAGACAATGTCATTTTTTATTAACTCATGCTCATAAATTGTGTTAACATTATCACATTTTTATTTTTATTTTTAAATTTTATTTTTAGGTTTTTATTCATGTAATGACATTAATTTTCAAAATACGATATCATTAATTGTTATGTAATGACAATGTATATTACATTGTCATGTAAGGACATTGTAAATTTGTAATCGATTAGCAACAATGCATTTCCATAAAAGTGATGTCAATCTTATGCCTTTAATATTGTCACAACATTGTCATTCACATTGACATTGTCAATACATAACATTGTCACAACATTATGATAAAAAAAACATTGTCACAACATTATTTTTATTGCAATGTTTCAATTAATGAAATTGCCACAACATTGTCATTGACATCGACTACTTGATCATGTTGTAATTTTAGAAGATGGTAGTGATTATACTATATCTCAATGACAATGACGTGCACTTTGTCGTGGTGTGCACTCAAAATAAATAATCAATACAACAATTATACGTAGTATAATGAAGTAAGGTTCGTATCCACAGGGAAAAGAGTACTTCTCTTTTTATATAACTAGTAACAAGGGGGGTTTTAGATTTGATTTGATTTAATTTAATTAACACTAAGATGAATGACTTAAATGAGTTTAATTAATAGAGATGGGGGCTTGGTTTTGCTTTTATCCACTTAATGAAATGTTCGTCGATCCCGGTTATATCTTTAACTATCTTCCTCTCGAATACTCAATCGAGGAGTATATCCAGTTCATCGAGGGTAGTTATTAATAACGAGACGCGTTCATTAATAAAACTTACTACCGAGTTAATATAGAACACGCGCCGTATATTAATCCGATAGTAGCAATAAAATCAAGATGAAAACGATTGAGATTGATAACCTCAACACAAGCGGTTTATTGGTTTAATCAACATAATTAATTCCCCTTGGTTTATTAACCATGAAACGCATGCATTAATAACCCAAGTTTACTACCGTGAAACGATCGAACGATTAACAAGCGTATTCGTCGATCGATTATAGTAATAATTAATATATGAAACAAAACTAGTTGATCCTTTAAGTAATGTTCAAAATATTAATATGAAATATGAATAGGAATTAATTAATACTCAAGGAAGAATATTAAAGAAGATGAATCCAACTATAGTTAATATCAAGATGTTAACTAATTGTCATCTTAGTAACACTCCCCAATGTTAACATAGAGGAAAAAATAACTATTACTATAACTAATGTCAAGATGTTAACTAATTGTCATCTTAGTAACACTCCCCAACATTGATATAGAAATAGTATTTAAAGGAAGAATTAATATTCAAGGAAGAAGATTAAAGAGGATAACTCACAACTTATAAATTCATTAAGCTTCAAAGTAGCAAAACCAAGATGGAAGAGTTTAGCTCCTCATTTGGAGACTAAACATGATAAAAATATAAAGAAAGTACTTAACTAAACTGAGCTAAAGAGTATATGTGAATTGGTTTTCTTAATGTGAAGGAAAAGGGGTGTATTTATAGCAAAATAGAGGTGGCAGGGTTCGGTACTCGATCCAGTATTGGCAATACTGGACCGAGTATGAGAGGAAATTTCCAGGAAATTGTGAAATATAGGCATACTCGACCGAGTATTGCCAATACTCGACCGAGTATGCGACAGGATTTTCATCAAATATTCACCCACGTTCTTTTGCTCCCAGATTTGATTTTGACCAGCGTATCAGGCCAATACTCGACCGAGTATTGGCAATACTCGACCGAGTATTGAACAAATTTCAAAATCTTCATTTGATCTTCTCCTTTTTGCACATTCTTTGGTCTTTAGGATTTATCCTTTGATTCTTGGGATGATTTTGACCTGTCCTAAGCTCAATATAATCTTAATCTAAATACATTACAAATAATTAATGAAAATAAAGTATTACACCAAAAGTGTGTAATTTCTACAACTAGAACTAATAAAACTAGTTAAAAATACAAACATACATAATAGGAAATTCACCCTATCAGACAACATCATTGACATTGTAATGTCATTGTTACGATATTGATATTGTTATGTCATTGACATTGTTATGTCATTGACATTGTTATGTCATTGACATTGTTACGACATTGACATTGTTACGACATTAATATTGTTACGACATTGATATTGTTATGTCATTAACATTGTCATTGACTCATCCATTGAAATAGACCACGATAACTAGAATTTAGAAATTACATAACATAAATAACACAACTACCCTGCAATGTCTTGAATGTAGCTGGAACAACATTACAAAATAAGTGATTAATTAAATGAATAAAAAATAATAACAACAACAACAATAAAAAAACAAATAATGTGCTACGAAGTAAAAATTAAACAAAAGAATAAACTGAAAACTTAACAATTTGAAAATGAAATTAGATAAATTAGTTAACAAAATCAAAACGAAACAAATGCAAAAGGAATGGGAAAAAGCATACTACGGATACAAAATTTAACGCCTAGCAAAAAAAGTAGATCGGCGGAATAAATAAGGTGGAAAAAAAGAAGATCGCAGGAAAGCCCGAAAATAAGAAGAAGAAGACCCGCTGAGAACTTCGACGACGAGCAGCGGCAGAACATTCCGACGACGACCAGCGGCAGAACAGTCCCTCGATGAGCAGCGGCAGAACAGTCCGGCGACGACCTGCAGCAGAGCACATTGGCGACAATCAGTGCAGACCGGCAGTGGACATAGAGGGTCTCAAATCACCACTGACTAGTACCATTAATCCCGCCCAAAAGCCTCTGTCTTCAGCAGCTCGGCCCTTGGCTGGCGAGGCTGGATTTAATGGATAGGAGTACCGAGTACATAATCTTGTCTAAGGGTATTTTTGTCTTACTAGTCCTAAATTAATCCTATTTAGGGTTAAAAAAGTTGCGGCTCCTATTTACTTACAGAGCACATGTACGTTTTAGTCACGTTGAAGTCTTTTTCCCGAGTTTTAATCACCTGTTGTGTTTACTTTTTTAAATTCCGAACCGGTAACATTTTCAAATTTGTATCACTAGTTGTACCGATACTTCACCTCGATGTTGTATCCGCGTATCCGATACGTATCCGTATCCGATACTCACCGATACGCGTTCTGTACGTATTGGATCCGTATCCGTAATTTAATAAAGGTATCAGACTTAATTTTAAAAATATCGATACTTCCGATACCCGTATCCGTGAACCGATACGCGTATCCGAACCTATAACCCCTCATTTGATACACGACATGACAAAAATTCAGTAGCCGCCCAAGCGACCACAACATGTGGAACATTGATAAAGATGGTTTCGGGAGTATGGAAAATAACGGAATACTATAATTTGTCATTTCATTGTTTGATGAGCTTTAATTGAAACAAGACTTAGATGTAAATGCAAATAGAGAACAAAAAAATGTTATTTGAATTTAAATCAAAATATCAATACTTTAGTTTTTTAGACTAATCTTTGAAACTTTATTATAATAGTTAATTTTTTGTACTATTATTATTTTATTTATGAACCCCTGAATTATATATATTTGCAAATTATACCCTATATTTTTATTATTTATAAATATGCCCCCGTACCCGTATCCTATAATTTTTGAAAGTGCCGTATCGCTGTACCCGTATCCGCGTATCCGAGTATCGGCGTATCCGTATCCGTATCCGTGCAACATAGTAGGACAAAGTATATATCTGATCATGTCAATGACATAAAATTTTGTAGATACTTACACCAGGCCATATAAATGTTAATCGTTGATATGTAGTTTCTTTCTAAAAAAATCTGAAGAATTCCACAACAATAACTGGTAATTAAGACCCCCATTGTTATTAAATAGTTGGATAAAAAATGTTCAATTCCTCCTTAAGATCGACCAAGGTAGCATTACATGTGTAATTATAACTCACAACAAAAAAGGGGGTTGATAGGGATTTTTGACAAGAATTCGCCAAAATTCATACAGAATTTGGCAGGGATATGCCACACTCTTGTCAAAAACATTTTGAACACGAGTTATTTGCAACAAAATCATGTATCAATCTGTTTCAAATCCATACGAATCACGCAATTTTTTTGTAATGACTAATGACTATTCAATACTACTATACTTTCGCCCCGAAGAGGTTCGCCATATTGACTTTTCTTGGTCAATGATGACAAATTTTGGACAATAATTTTAATTATTTTATTGGTATATAATTTATAAACTTTATACTTTTATGAAAATATTTTGAATAAGGAATATTTTGGTATAATTTTCATAAATATTCTAAATATTTTGGTACTAAAAAATATCATTGGTCAAAGTTGAATGTCATTAACCAAGAAAAGTCAATTTGACTAATTATTTGGGGATGGAGGGAATATTTCAATTCAATCCACATGCAATACATATATATGATCAAAACAAATACTGCAAAAATTTGATCTTTTAGAAATACTTACCAATGAAAAAAGAAAGGAAATTACAGAATTGAACCAAAAACGGTCAAAGCAAAGCCTAATTAATTGTCAAGCCGATCTAGGAACATTATTATCCGCGTTTGTGGATTTGCGGAAGAGAAACTCCAGGTTTTGAGCATTCCAGCACAGCTCAATGGAGTCTCCTTCCTTCAAAAGCCTCCGTCTCACAAATTTCTCGGACCAGTTGTCAGTGAGCACATAGCTTCTGCTTTTCCACTGCAAAAGGGTTAGCACGCATTCCTTCCCGTCGTCCATGTCCGTCACCTTCACTTTCAGCCCCATCGCGCTGTGGCAGGCGCTCTCCTTCTCCTTGTCCAGAGAAGGCAACACGTACCTATCCATGATCTCTGCCTTCGGCAGCAAAAGCCGCGACGACGAGTTCACGTCGCTCGCGCTCAGCATCTTCTTCACCCACGGCCTTTCCCCGCCTCCTTTTCCGAGACCCGCTCTCGGAAAAGGGCTCTGGTGTACCCCGCTATCTCCGGTTCCGCCTTCTGGCGTACTCAGGGATGGAGTGTCATCCTTTTTCTTAGAAGTTCTTGACCGCTTGACCCATGGAGGTGTGTTTCTTTTGCAACTACATGGGGTACCGGAAGAGAGACTGGAACCCGGCGGTGACAACCGGAGTTGTTAACTTAAGCTAAGGAAAGAAAGGAATTGATGCAAAGTATATCTCTCAGTATTAAACTGATGTGAACGAAGGCTTTTAAATAGCCTTTTACAAATAATTAAACTAAGCATGCATGATCTCCACTAACAACATGGCTAGAAACGTGGCAAAGGAAAAGGAATATGCAAGACTTAGCAAATGAGATAACAACCATAACAATATGCATGCACTACATCCTATAATTAAGGAACCTCATTTAGACTTATTCAAATATTAAACTGGAACTAAACTCCCACGTGCATGGGCAATTAAGGAACTTCAAGCTTATCATATTCAACACCTCCCCTTGATCCAAGCTTGCTCATACCTATCTTCTCCATGAAATATTGATGTTTTGCTTGATTTAGAGCTTTAGTAAATAGGTCTGCATTTTGAAGATTGGTTCCACAAAATTTCAAACTAATCTTCTCCTCAGCTACCAATTGCTTGATGTAATGATGCTGGACTTCTATATGTTTTGTTCTCGCATGGAATGCAGGGTTCTTAGTCACTGCTATTGCAGATTTGTTGTCACACAAGACCTCAATTGCACCAACCTGTTCACAGCCCAAATCCTTAAGTAGTTTTCTCAACCACATAGCCTGTCTTGCTGCAGCACCTGCAGCCACATATTCAGCTTCAGATGATGAAAGAGCTACAGTTTCTTGCTTCTTGGAACTCCAAGTGATTGCTCCGGACCCAAGACTGAACACAGAACCTGATGTGCTTTTTCTATCATCTAAGCAACCTGCCCAATCACTGTCAGTATGACCTGTCAACTTGAAAGATTTCACTCTCATAGAGTATTCCAGCATCAGTTGATCCTGCAACATACTTTAGTATTCTTCTTGCTGCACCCATGTGCTGCTTAGTTGGAGAGTGCATATATCTTGAAACTACACTCACACCGTAGGCTAGGTCAGGCCTTGTGTGTGTGAGATAAATCAGACCCCCAACTAAACTTCTATAACTTTTTTCATCTGCTTTCTCAGTTCCATCTTCTCTCTGAAGTTTTTCATTTGTATTCATGGGAGTTTTCATTGCCTCAGACTTCTTCACATGGAATTTCTTAAGCAAATCTTCTGCATATTTCTTTTCGCATAAGAAAATTCCATAATCTCTCTGCTTTACCTCCAGCCCAAGAAAGTATTGTAACATTCCAAGGTCTATCATTTCAAACTGATTCATCATAGCAGCTTTAAACTCATTAAGAATTTGCTGAGAGGAGCTAAAGTAGATAATGTCATCTACATAAAGGCAGACAATAATAAACTCATGCACATCTTTCTTTCTTTTCACATAAAGAGTTGGTTCATTCTCACTTCTTTCAAAGTTATTTTGAAGAAAGAATGAATCAATCTTACTGTACCATGCACGAGGTGCCTGCTTCAGCCCATATAAAGCTTTCTTAAGTTTGTACACCTTATCTTCCTCACCCTGCTTTATGAATCCAAGAGGTTGCTCTACAAAAACCTCTTCCTGCAAATGCCCATTTAGGAAAGCAGTTTTTACATCAAGTTGAAATACCTTTAAATTCCATTGGGCTGCTAGAGCTAGGACAACTCTAACAGTTTCCATTCTTGCTACAGGTGAGAAAGTTTCCTCAAAGTCTATGCCTTCCTCCTGTGCATAGCCTTTTGCCACTGACCTGGACTTGTGTTTTTGAATACTCCCATCTGTGTTAAACTTGGTTCTGAACACCCATTTCAGACCAATAACATTCTTCCCTTCAGGAAGATCCACCAACTCCCAGGTTTCATTCTTCTTTATTGATCTGATTTCATCATTCATGGCTGATTGCCATTCCACGCTTTCCTTTGCTTCATCAAAGTTAGTTGGATCTGCAGCCATTAGAGCAAAGTCACAGCTCTCATATACATCAGCTAGGGACCTGTACCTTCTAGGAGTTGAATCATTTGATGATGAAGGTGATGGACTTGATGAGCTAGAACTCTGATTGTATGAAGAGGGTGTTGAGGGAGGACTTCCATTATGAACATTCTCTGGCTCAGTAGGTGCATCCTCAGTACCATCAAACTGCACTGAGTCTTGCAAATCTTTACTAGATTCACTTGTTTCCCAATTCCATCCTGATTCTTCATCAAAAACAACACTTCTACTAACAATGATCTTGCCAGTTTGAGGATTATATAGTCTATATGCTTTAGATTGTGAGGAATAGCCAATGAACACACACTTGACAGTTTTATCATCTAGCTTAGACCTTAAATCAACTAAAGCATAAGCTATACACCCAAATATCTTTAAATGACTTACTGAAGGTTTATTTCCTCTCCAAGCTTCAAAAGGTGTGCTATTCAGGACTGCCTTTGTTGGTGAAATATTCAGAATATACACAGCTGTTGCTACAGCTTCACTCCAAAAGCAATCTGGAACTCCTCTAGCTTTAAGCATGCTTCTAGCCATTTCAACCACAGTCCTGTTCTTTCTTTCTGCTACTCCATTTTTCTCAGGAGTATAGGGTGCAATTAGTTCCCTCCTGATTCCTTCTTCTTCACAGAATTTGATGAATTCATTTGAAAGAAACTCACCACCTCTGTCTGTTCTCAAAGCTTTCACCCTCAATCCATATTGTTTTTCTACCATAGCTTTAAAGATTTTAAAGCTATCAAAAGCTTCTGATTTAGCTTTGAGAAAATACACCCAACTCATTCTACTAAAATCATCTGTGATGAGTAAGAAATACTTACTTCCCCCAAGGATGTTGTCTGCATTGGTCCACAAAGATCAGCATGAAGTAGCTCAAGACACTGACTTGCTCTCCATGCTTTCCCAACTGGAAATGATCCTCTTGATTGCTTTCCATAAAGGCAGCCCTCACACAGTTCAAGTTCACCTATTTTTGGTAGGCCTTTTACCAAATCTTTGGATTGCAGTAGCCTCATCCCTTGCAGATGTAGGTGACCATACCTCAAATGCCACAACTTTGCATCATCATCCCCCTTAACTATCAGAACTTTGCTTGATCTGCCTGATAGATTAAGAGGAAACATCTTGTTTCTCCCCATTTCAATGCTTGCTACAGTCTCCTTGGATTTCTTGTCAATGATTTGGCAAGTTCCATTTTCAAATACTACTGAGTATCCTGAGTTCACCAGTTGCCCTACACTCAGTAGATTATGAGACAGTTTGGGCACATATTGCACATTACAAAGGAGTTTGGTATTGCCCTTCTCAGTTGTAATAGCAATAGTTCCCATGCCCTTTACTTCAAGTTGTTTTCCATCTCCCATTCTGACCATGCTTTGCATTGATTCATCCAGATTCCTGAACATAGCTCTCGCACTTGACATGTGGTTTGAACATCCACTGTCAATATACCACACACTGCTCTCTTCCTCTCCATTTGTTGCAGCCTGAGCCAAGAACAATTTTTCTTCTTCTTGCTCAACAAAGTTGGATTTCTGGCCTTCCTTTTGTTCATTTTCTGCCTTCTTCCAGCAGTTCACTTCCTTATGGCCAGATTTGTTGCAATAATAGCACTTGATAGGACCTTTGCTAGGCTGAGAAGACTGATCTCTCCCCTCATGCCTTGCCCCTCTTCCTCTACCTCTTCCTCTGAAGCCACCTCTACCTCTACCAGCCTGTTGGTGAGATCTTTGTTGATTTGAGGACTCTCCTCTAGCCTGGAAGGCTTTCTCCTCCTTTGGATCATCTTCTCTGTTTATCCTCTCTCCATGTGCTTGAAGAGAACCCTTCAAATCTTCAAATGTGTAAGTCTCCAGATCTTTTGACTCTTCAATTGCTGCCACTACATGCTCATACTTCTTGGTAAGACTCCTGAGCACCTTACTCACCACTTGATTTGTCTTGATTTCTTCTCCTATGGTTTTCATCTCCTGAACAATTGTAGACACTCTTGACAGATAATCTGGGACTGTTTCCTTCTACTTCATTTGGAAGTTTTCAAATTCCCTTCTCAAAGATTGTAGGCGTACAGCAACTACCTTCTTGTCACCAACATACTCCTTATTTAGTATACTCCATGCCTGTTTTGCTGTAGAAGCTGCTGCAATGTGTGGAAAGATAGCATCATCCAAAGATTGTTGAATGATGTAGAGAGCTTTGGCATCTTTCTTCCTCTTCTCCCTTAGTGCCTGATCTGGTTCATCAGCACCATCATCATCAAACCCATGCTCAACCGTATGCCACAATTCTTGTGACTTGAAAAGGGTTTTCATTTTTAGACTAAAAATGAAAGTTGATCCCTTTGAAGATGGGTAGTTGATTCAAAGAACTCCCACTTCCATTGGTATTTTGCATGGTGAAGAACTATTCTATAAACTGTGTTTTACTCTCACGAAAACACTCGCACAGCCCAAGGATTTCTAACCTTAAAGCTCTGATACCAAATGTTAACTTAAGCTAAGGAAAGAAAGGAATTGACGCAAAGTATATCTCTCAGTATTAAACTGATGTGAACGAAGGCTTTTAAATAGCCTTTTACAAATAATTAAACTAAGCATGATCTCCACTAACAACATGGCTAGAAACGTGGCAAAGGAAAAGGAATATGCAAGACTTAGCAAATGAGATAACAACCATAACAATATGCATGCACTACATCCTATAATTAAGGAACCTCATTTAGACTTATTCAAATATTAAACTGGAACTAAACTCCCACGTGCATGGGCAATTAAGGAACTTCAAGCTTGATCATATTCAACAGGAGTGTCAAGCAGACTCCGTCGTCGTTATCTTCGTGATCCATATCCTTCGTCGGGGAAGGCGGCCAAGAGAGGCTGAGTTCGGTGGAAACTCCCTTTTTTGAGACTTCCTCAGCCGCGGCTGCAGCGGCGCTAATGATAATATTATCATCCCAGACTTGCCCGTTTTCTTTCTCACCCCAGCAGGCCAAGAAGTCGAAACATAGCGACATTATTATATGGTTTATTTTTTCCTTGAACGATGTATATGATGAACTGTAGCTAGCATGCATAAATATTGAGAATTAGCAACATACCACATTACCAAGTGCGTATATATAAGAAATTGTTGGCTGATCAT